ATCAGTTCTGATTTTAGCAAAGAAATAAAAGTCAGCATTTCGATTTTGGAAAATTTGAGAGAAAGTTATCAAAAAATCCGGAACACCCTCCGTTTTTTGCTAGGTAATTTAGCCAATTTGCCACCCAATTTAAAAAATGAAAAAGATTTAGAATCAGAATTGCATATGGTTGACTATTACATTCTCCATAAATTAGGAAAATTAACTAGCGAAAGTCAAAAAAATTATGGTGAATACAATTTTAACCCTATTTATACCTCTTTATTAAATTTCTGTATCAATGATTTAAGTTCTTTCTATTTTGAAATTAGCAAAGATAGTTTATATTGCGATAGTCTTTCTTCTCTGCGGCGACAACAAATTACTACTACTCTTTATTATCTTCTACAAGGGCTACTAAAAATTATTTCTCCAATTTTGCCTTTTCTTGCTGAAGAAGTTTACCAAAATATCCCTTTTCGTTTTGGTTTTGCTGGTCAAGAAAGCATCCATTTAGCGAATTATTCGTCAACTTTGTCTCTTTCGCCCTCTATGGAAAAAGAAACAGCAATAATTACCAACTTCTTTTTACCTTTGCGCCAAGATGTCTACCAAGCCCTCGAAAAAGCCCGCCAAGAAAAAATTATCAATACCAATTCACAGGCTCATTTAATAATTTTTTTAAAAGAAAAAAAACGGACTAGATTATTCCTGACTCAATTTAGAGGATTTATTATTAGTAGCCAAAGTTGAAAATAAAGACCAAACTATTCTTGCTTTACAACAGAAAATTACTGAGTTAGAAAATAAGATAAAAGATTTAGAGAACGACAAAGGCAATGAAAAGAAAAGAGAAGAAATTAGAAATGAAATACTTAACTCTGAACTTAATGAAGAGCAAAAACAAGAATTATTGAAAATGTTAGAAGATAAGAAAGTTTCTGAAATCCAACCTAAACCAACTAATTACTGACCTTGAATATGTGGAGTAGTTGTAGTAGGATTAGTCAGTTTTATTTGATACAGAAAAAGAAAGAGAATGAAAAGACTTTAATATTCCTACTCTGAAAAGTGAGTAATTAAAACCTTTTGACAGCGTTGACAAATATCTTTTTCTAAGTCCCGATAATTTCAACACCTAATACATTTTACTCGGTCTGTTTTTTTCACCTTGATAGCGGAAAAATTGCTTTCTCGCATACCATCCTCTTTTTGGTCTTTAATTTCAACTTTGGCTACTAATAATAAATCCTCTAAATTGAGTCAGGAATAATCTAGTCCGTTTTTTT